CACAAAGTTGTGTTTATACAGACTGAAATCATGAATGAATGATTGGTTGGAGAGACCTTGAATGATATGGATGAAATTTGTTTGCAATGGTGCAGATGCATCCCCATTCTTTGTCTTTTCTCATAAGTTCAGAACCTTTTATTACCTCTATTTGAATTTACTTCACTGGAGTAAACTTTTTGAATAATTTCTTTGAACCTTAATCTTTCTCATTACCGCTAATACTTCTACTATATCTACTATCGTGTGACTTGAATCGACAATCCGACCTTTGTGTGCTAATGTGGTATGACAACTTGAACTGATTTACGTTAGTAAAAAGTTCTACGTTGTAACTGATCAACTGACATTGATCCAGTGGTCAAGCACTCGCACACAAGACCAAAGGTCCTGAGTTCAATTAACTGCAAGTAGCAGGAGTCGTGGATCTGCACTGCCACGGATGAAACACCTACAAGATCTCTTTCTAATGGTGGTCCAACAATGATTGCAGTATGATTTTAATGTGTATAGAAACAATGATCCCTACAATACTATAAAGCAAAAACAAACTGTTCTCTATTTTATCATTGTGTAGTGAAGGAGAACACAGGTGAGGGCAACCGAATTGTATTTAACGAAAATTACAGAGTTACTCAGTAAAATCGGAAAACCATATCGTAAATCGTTAATTTGCAAAATATCAGTTCATCCTATCGAACTGGACTGTTCCTGTTGCAAAACATCAACAATCCATTGTCACTACTATTTATGCGTTTCGTACACAAATTCCATTGTTTTCTAACTCTTCCTTTCTATTGATCTTCCCCCATCTTCTGCTGCCAGACATTACGTTGATACTCACGTCATATACTACTTATAAGTATAGCTCGCACCACAGTTGTACATACATACACACACACACGTAAACACACTGGGGCATTTATAGAACAATTGTGCCTATCCCCAAAATAGAGAATCATTGGTTTACGTGTAACGCATACACACACACACCGTAATACATGTACGTATCGAATGAAATGAATCCTACTTTTGGATTAACTAAATGAAAACTAATTATCGTTTGGTTTCATCACAGTGAGATATCATCAGATGAGCCAAAATATTTTTTTACAAACAAATTCACAATGTCAACTGACATTCAATAAACAACAATAGAATAAGAAATATGAAACAAAAGTGAGAGCAGAAATATGATTGTAAATAAAAAGGATGATAAATGTTTACATTTTCAATTGGTATTGATTATTTAAACAACACATTCGATCTATAGACTAAAAATTCTCCGCCTGACACATTCCATTTACTGATACTTGAACAGGAGGAATGTAGTGCGCTTTACAGAAAGATAAACCAATTAAGCTGTACAGAAAATAACCGAATTTATTGAAGACAAGAATAAACAGTTTGATTTATCAGTGATCGTAGCTGCTACTTTGACTTGGTTGTCGGGCTTGCTTATTGTGATGACCCAACCGAGTTATACTGGCTAAAAAAATATGTTCCTGTAGGTTCTACCATACCACGCAGGTCGATCAGATAACGGTAACACTAAAAGCACCAATTTAAAGTCTGAGGCCAAAGTCATACTTCTGACTGTAGAGGGATGTGACAGTAGTAAGGTGTTTCCCTCAGACAAACAACATCTGCAGCGACGCTGCCTTCTCACAAGGAAGGAAGGGGTCGGAAAAGGTCGACAATAAAAATGTCACACCTCACCTTACCTCACGGATTTCCGCCTCCGGCGGTAAGGCCTTTTAAATTTCAACTACCTAATCATTACCCTTTGTAGAAGTCGAGCGACTAGCTAATGGTTCAGTCGTTCGACTTCTACCTACTAAATCGTGAACTTCGTTTGACAAACTATCGACGCATCACTAGTCATTCCATTGAAAATGTAATTGAAAACCAAGTGTATACGAACTTGGAATCGAATAAATAACTATTCAATAAAGTGACTGTTTACACCAATACATAAACAAACAATTTTGTACATTGATAACAAGTAGCAGTTCAGATAATAATTCAAAGATTATTATTATTATTATTTTATTTAAATCATGAATAGATCAATATTAGATCAACATGAGAAACCTGGAAGCAATGGACGGCCGTTTCGTCCTGGCATGGGACTCATCATCAGCAGTGTATATCCATGATTGCTGCTACTTGCAGGATTCGAACCCAGGACATTTGGTCTTGTGCCGACTACTGAGCCGGTATCTAAACGCAGTTAATGTCTAACTTCGATCAATCCACGGTCTTGCGCTACCTCACTGCTTCACACCCGTACAAGGTTGAACTTCACTAGTCACAACTTCTGACTAGAACTCGGAAAAAACTTCCTAACGGAGCTCTAGTCACTAAGTGAGCACATGATCTCAATAGAGTAAGTAACTCAACAATCTCTATGCAACTCCAAACTTATGCGTATTTACATGATGAATAGATTTGATTTTGCTATATTATAAATACACAGATCAATATGTAGGTTTGTAAAAATACAATCCGAAAAACAAACGTACACATACACGCACGCACACGCACACGCACACACACACAACGGATTCTTCTTATACTACTTACGAAATGATATTTAGAATAAATTATCAATGAAAACACACACACACACATGTGATTTGATTTTGGTAAATGATGATAGTAGAATTAAATGCTAGAGTGTGGCATTTTAGTTAATTAATCAGGGTATAATAGATTGTTGAGAAAATTTACTTTAATGCAAAGAATTAAAATAATAAAACGAAGAAATTAGTCAGTAGATTGTATTTGAAAATTGCTAATGAACTAACTGGGTTAAGATTTATGATTGATTATCAGTGAGATAAACAAACAAACAAACAGTAGTAGGTCAGCAGTTATCATTCATATGAAACCTGATCACAATGTGTTGTAAGTATGTGTTTGAAGTATGGCACTACGTTATTAGCGTAATATGAAAGCGCTGACAGGAGTGCCCCTCTTGGGGGCTACTGCCGGTCTCAAGTCCAGATAAAAAAAGGAGGAGGAGGGTTGGTCAGTCAGTTGCAACGTAGAACTTCGTACGTATGTGTACATAAAGTTCATGTTGCCATACCACCACATTAGCACAGAGACGCAAATGTCAAATCAAATCCCATAGTGATAAAGATAGTAGAGGTATTAATGGTAATGAAGAAGACTAGGGTTCGAAGATATTATTCAAGAAGTATAATTCAGTGAGATAAGGTTAGCAAGACAAAGGTAGAGGTGCTGATGAATCTAGAAGATTAGGATTTGAGAGAACACAAAGAATGGATGCACCTGCGCCATTGTAAACGATTTTGAGCCATGTCGTTCAAGGTCTCTAACCATTGGTGACTTTCATGGAGGAGGGTTGGGCATGGGGTTATAGTGAGTCCATCTCGTAGAAAATTAACTCGCTGGTAAAAAAAACGCTAACCAGGAAAAAATAATTTAAACTCTGCACTGAGAGTTAGAAGGTCTTCATTTAGAAGAGTTACGACGTCTTATGATGAAAGAAGATACAAGTGTTTAGTTTTAACAGTTGGTCAGACATCATAGAAATAATCTTACTGTGTAAGAGAACAAATCAGATTTCAGTTGAAGAATAAATCAGGAAAACGTGTTGAAGGTGGATAAGATATACATTGAGGAAAGCACTCAACTACATCACAAGACAAGCCCTCAGTTGGATTCCTCAAAGGAGAAGGAAAAGAAGTAGACCAACAAGGAACACGCTACGCTGAGTATAGGGAGCGGACATGAAAAAAAACGAGTAGCAATCGGGCAGAACTAGGAAAAGAAAGTCCAGGACAGAGTAGCTCAGAGAATGCTAGTCAGTGGTCTGTCTATGTTCAATTGGGAGTAACAGGCATAAGTGAGTAAGTAATTAAGAAACATTGGAGAATAAGGTTTGAGAAGACAGAATGAAAAAAACTAGTGTGATGCTATCTAGATGTTCAATCCAAAGGAGATTGGACGGTACTCAAACCTGGCATCAAACACTTTACAAGCCGTATTTTAACCAACTGGTGGGTGGTTCTTCTACCTAATTTGACTTAGGTAACAAAATAAAATCACTACACCTCACATTATGAATGACATTTAAAATCCAGTAGCAAAACCCTGACTCCAAACCAATAATGTGCATGGGCTCCAGGAACCTGATGGAACAAATGCTGTATGAATCTACTGTTGGTCACTAGCTACCAAGGTCTAATCCACAAGCTGGTGAAGCGATGTCAGGAGATTCTGAGATGATAGAGAAAATGTCGTTCAAAAGAACAATGCCAAACCCCATCACCAAACCATCCAGCTCAGAGAATAAAACTCCATCACAATCACCCACCTGAGTTATATAAACTTTCTAAACCATTTCAGAATCTTCTAAAGTTCCTTCACCACTCTGTGGATTAGACTTCTAGGTTAAAGGCTTTGGGAGTGGCTTTCTACGAAAACCACATGCATCGGGCAGTATTCCAGCCAACACATAAAAATCAATCATTTATATGGCTGACGCATAAATACTTACGTTTCCTTTTGTACCAATAATTATGTGTTTAAACAAAATGATATTGATAGTAATAATAATAATAATAATAATAATAATAATAATAATAATAATAATAATAATATTAGTAATAACAATAGTACACACATTCATATTTAGCATATAAATTACACTAAATAAATAAAACTAAGTCAACTAACAGCAATTCTTATGTAAGTTAACTGCTGCCTACTTTAAACAAACACCCAACTTCCATTCTTACTAAAACAATGTGCAAACACCTACACACCCATACCGATGAATTCTCAGCACTTAAAGGTTAGTGTGATGTTATTGCATTCTACAGCCGCATTAATTAATCGATAGTTTTCGAAAAAAAGGTAAGCTATCAGCGATTGTCAGCCAGTCAGTCAGTCAGCTACAACGTAGAACTTCGTACGTGAGTTCATCAGTTTACAGTACATAGAGATCGAATCGTCATTTCAAATACCTTATTAGCAGAAGTAGTAGCAGTGTTAGAGGTAATGTGATGAGGAATTCTAAAGATTAGAATTTTAGAAAAGACAGAGAGTGGATGCACCCACGTCATTGCATACGATTTTGAGCCGTTCAAAGTCTCTAACCAACAGTTACTATTGTCACACGGACCACAACCAAGTAATTAGTCTACACTTACTAACATGTCTTAGTCCAGCTGTCAGTGACTTCATGGATTTGTGCCATTTTTTGATTTGGCCGCCTCTAGCTTTCTTCCAGCCTACCCCTACATTACAAAAAACAGTTCATCGAGGCAGTTGGTGGCTAAACATACGTAACACATCATCGATTGAATGAATGTTTAGCCCACATAGCCTGTTCTAGCTTTTCAGTGAACTAAATTAACCTTCACACATATCTTTTGACCTGATGGTCAATTATTCACTTAGAATATTGGTTGTTTTTATTTAAGTTTATGTGAGTGCATTGCTAATTTCGCTTATCAAATATCTAACTTATTTTTGCCCTGACTAGTCACATTGAATTAGCACAATCTCCTTCTCCATTTCGATTTGCTTCGCTTTTACGCTTTATATTCTCATGTCTGTCTATGTGTGAACGATTGTTTATAAAATAAACTCATCCAACCCAATCCATAATCGGTTTCTCATTTCTGCCGCCGCCGCCGCCGCACAAACGAGGTTCGCATCAAGGAAGATCTATTTCATGAAATAATTAATTGTTCCTTGTTATGATCGTCAACTTATCTGCTTGAAACTATTACGAGTCGGTAAATGAGAGAGAAGACAAATGATCCAGTGACACGATAGGCCACTCTAATCCGAACGTCCCAATGCCGCACTAAGTAGAGGAAGAAGTCTTGATAAGGCGTAGAAAGTGTATTCTACAAGCACCTAGAAAATTGAGGCTGACAAGCACACAAATCGAGTTCATTTATACAGACAGACAGATATAATTTGGTCTCGTGTGCTGTTACGGGTATGAGGGTGGTTGTCACTTCCCGGCTGCCCACATCGTGGAAGGTTGTGTCTTGAGGGACCTGAAAAGGAAGATAGATTAGTGTTGGTCTTAGGACCTGGGGACGTGACCGCAGAGCCCAAGGGACAACTGCTTGAGGCCGGTCACGCAGGGTTTTTTGAGGATTACCTCCGCTCTTGAAAGCCCTTAGTGGGCACTCTTACCCAAGGAGACGGAAATCCGTGAGATAGGGTGAGGTTTGACATTTTTAGGGTCGACCTTTTCTAACCCTTCCTTCCTTGTGAGAAGGCAGCAGCATCGCTGCAGCTGCTGGTTGTCCGAGGGAAACACCTTACTGCTGTCATGCCCCTCCATCACAGTCAGCAGTACGAATTCGCCCTCAGACCTTGGGTAGCTGCTTTCAGTGTCATCCTTCTCCAATCGACCTGCCTGGTATGGTAGAACCTACAGAAACATATTTTTTTAGCCAATATAGCTCAGTTGGATCATCACGATAGGTAAGCCCGACCACCACATCAAGGTAGCAGATACGGTCGGGAGTTTATCTATACATGATAGAAACGTCCTTGGGAGAGTCACAAAAATAGCCTACTAAAACAACACATCAACCAATGACATTCAAGGATTTTCCCGGTAGGAAATATAATCTCAAAGTCAACTGATCAGCCCATGTGCGAGAGCAAAAAACCCAAACTTAGAACCTTTATCAAGTGAAATCTGCGGATCTAATGTCCCCCCCCCCCCAACATTCCTACAAATTAGAGTCAGATCGCGCGCAGGCCATCAAATATGATCAACAATATTCTTACACATGGATAAGAAGAAATAAAACTCGTACAATTTAAACAAACAATCTAACACACATAGGCATACATGCATACATACATGAATAAATCAACTTACATTGTAATTCATGTTTAATATCATCGGTATTTGTACGTGTTCTTGGATCATAACGTGCAGTTGGCGCCTCAGAACGTTTACGTTCTTCTCTTAATTGTGTTTCTAATTCTTCCACACGGGCGTCTAATTCAGAACGTATACTAAACAATTGTTGAATTTGTTTATCTATAGAAAAGAACAGAAGAGAGAATAGAAAATGTTAATAGTGTTAATCTACAATTAGTCGTCTTACATGGAAAAAAAGAAGAAAAACGTTGAGATTACAGTTTAATTTATTGATTTATTACGGATTAATATTAGGATATATGTATAAGAGACTAATAAAAACCTGTGACTAATGACTTCTTGACTTATCTTCGTAGTTGCATCACTGCTGGGTGGCCTGGTGTGTGTGTGACTACATTTCAGCACGGATACAGAAGGTTCGATTGACCATTGTTAATAATTTGCGTCCTTTGTAGTGTAGGCACGATATTCGTCTATCAACGGGTTTACAGTGCATCAGTTCGCTCCGTTCGAATTGATGGATGCGAAATGTGGCGAGTAAGAGTAGAGGATATTCGTCGGTTATTGGTATTCCATCATAGGTCTGAGAAGCATTGCTTGTATCAGTCAGTCAGTCAACAACAACAACATAGAACTTCGTACGTACGTATGGACATCAGTTCAAGTTGCCATACCATATTAGCACAGAGATGCAATTGTCACTTCAAATCCCATAGTAGTAAAGGTATTATTAGTAATCGCAGAGATTAGGCTTCGAAGATATTATTCAGGAAGTAGAATCTAGTGAAATAAACTTAAAAAGAAAAACATTAAGGTGATGAGGAACTCTGAAGGTTAGTTTAAAGTAGATTCGAGGGAGAGGCTCCATCTGCTCTCCCTCGGACCCACTGAGGGGCGAGGAAGCTACATCAGGTACCTTATTAAACCTAATTGGTGCCGATCCTGGCGGAATTGCTTACACCTACCCGTGGAATTTCCCTTACTGGTGGTATCCACCGGTAAGAGAATGCCCCAACCTTGGTTTAGCAAAACTGGGACTGGTCCCCTACGGTGGTTTCTCACTGTAGAGGAAATTCCTTGGGGACGGTGGGTTAACCATCCCTAAGGGAACACAACCCGTACACTCCGGTAAGGGTGGGTGTATGGGTTAGGGAAGCTGATTCAGTCCCACAAACCCCCTAATCCTCGAACAATCGAGTAAGCCATGCTTAGGTTAAGAACAGGGTACTAGGTAAGAATTACAAATCAACTGATGAAGCAGTGACTTTTCATTGATTGAGGTAGTTGAGACATGTGTTACGTATGCCCAACCACCAACTACCTCAACGAGCGATGTTTTGTGGTGTATGGGTAGGTTGTAAGAGAACCAAAGGTGGCCACACTAAAACCCACGAAGCCACCTACGACTGGACTAAGCCATGTTAATAGGTGTAGACTACCTGGTTGGGGTCCGTGAGAACATAGTAACCGATGGTTAGAGACTTTAAATGACATAACTCAAAATCGTTTACAATGGCGTAGTATATTTTCTCAAATTATAATCTCTGAATTCCTCATGACCTTCATTTTTCTCTGCTCAAATTCATTTCACTGGCTTATTCTCTTTGAATAACGTCTTCAAACTTTAATCTGTCCGATTATTGCTTATACTTCTACTACCTTGAATCGACTTTTGTATCAGTGCGCTAAAGTAGTATGGCAACTGGAACTTATGTGCATAACGTACAAAGTTCTACGTTGTAGCTGATTGACTAATCGAATGACCTGAGTTAGGAATCAATAACATTAGATGATAATCACTGTGTTCCATCACCTTCTTATGCAAATGGTAATGTTAACTGGTGTAGAAGTAGGAGGCTGGAAGATGGATAGAGGTGAATAAACTAAAACATGGTATCAGTCGATGGAACCAATGCTCCATGCTGGTGGATTCATGTTATCCCTTGGTTGGGGTCAATGAGAGAAGACAAATAATGGATGTAGCTACGCCATTGAGCTATGTCATTCAAAGTCTGTAAGCAATAGTTACCATTATCATGTGGGCCCTAACCAGGTAGTCAACGCCTACTAAAACGGCTCAGTTCATTTGTTACTGACTTCACGGATTGGTGCCAAAATTTGGTTTGGCCACTCCAAGCCTTGCTTCAGCTTACTACTACCCATATACCAGACATTGCTCATCGAGATAGTGAGTGGTCGGGGACACGTAACACATGCCCCAACCACTTCAGCTGACCGAGTTTCATTAATTCATCAATTAATCTGCCATTCTTACCCAGTACCCGTTTCTTAACCATAACATTGCTTACTCGATGGTCCCAAGATATATGAGCAATGCTTCGAAGACACTTATGATCGAATAATAATAGCCTGTGACTATCTTCTTTCCATGGAGGCTATGTTTCAATAAGATTATGCCTACTAGTATTATGAAGAGTTTCTGCAGATTATCCGATCTGAACTTTGTGCACCAGACTAAAGTTGATATGTTAGCCAGTAGTAAGCACAGGATTAAAACTTTTTAGGATCAGAAGTAATATGAAGTATTCGATAAGAACTCAGTGGTCTGCATAGCCCTCATTGTAAACCTGAAAGTTAAAAGTCTATACTATCTACGCGATAGATCCTTATACAGACGATACATTGTATAAAGCTGTGAAATCCTTGAGTAAATTGTTTTTACCACTGTTTATTGAACCAGTGTTTAAGATTATCAACTCAAAATGGAATGAAATAAAACTATTATTATTAATAATATTATTGTGCGATATGAAATGCTTTTTCAAGAATGGACTTCAGTCGGGGTTGGTGAGTTCCGTAATTTACAACTCCTGCATCTTGCAGGATTCAAACCCAGGACCTTCGGTATTGCGCGCGAACACCTAACCTATGGACCAGTGAGCCACTATCTAACTTAGATCGAGTCATGGATGCGCACTGTTAATGAGTCAGTGCCATACCAGAACGAAATGGCCGTCCACCAGTGCTTCCAGGTTTCTAACGGCGGTCTAACATTAATCGATTCATGAATTCAAATGTGTAACTTCACAATGTTCACAACCCCGTAATGCAATTCCATAATTACGAACAAAGTGATAAACTCTGATTAGTGCTCTTTCTATGCTTAGTAAACCAATATTTTCAATAGAAAAAACATCTCAAAAATCACTTATACACTGACTGGATTTTCCATAGGACAACAGCAACGCAAACACAAGAGGAACACTAAAATTGAACATAAAAACTCTATGACTGAAGTAATATTACGGTTACAACCGTAATGTTATGCTAGAATTTGTAATACAATAAGGATCTCATTTCTAAGGATAAGAAGTGAACGACAGACTGGGAAAATAGTTATTTTACAGTTTACATCAAGGAATCTGATATTAATGAGACAATGATTTAAAATCAAAAATAGTCAGGCTATGGAAATTGTTGAGTTACTTTATGGAGATCATGAATCGATCAATGTTACATCAACATTAGAAGAAACCTTGATGTATGGGACTCATCAGTGGCAGTGCTCATTCACGACTTCTGCTGCACCCGAGAGTCGAACCCAGGACCTTCGGTCTTGTGCGCAAACGCTTAACCCCTAGAAAAGTGAGCCAGCATTCAACGATGTAAGTGTCTAAGTCATGACTAGTGTAGTTCAACCCTGTTCGTGTGTGAAGCAGTGCTCACCGAAGACAGTGGATGGGGTTGTCCACGACTGTGGATTGATCGAAGCTAGACAATAACAGCTCAATGGTTCAGAGGTTAGTCGCTTGAACATAAAACCAAACGTTCTGGGTTCGAATCCTGCGTATGGCAGGAATCGGCCGTCCACTAGTGCTTCCCAAGGTTTCTTCTAATGATAATCTAACAATGATTCAGTCATGACTTCAATGCATAACAGTAAATCATTCATAACACATAAAACCAAGTGTATATCTATCTATCTATCTATCCGTCTTGACTTATCGATTAACATATCAAATGTGTTTGATTGAAAACAGTGCATGTTGTTTTTTCATGTCAAAAAACAGGGTAACATGTCTGCGTATATATATAAGTAGACAAACACACATATATGCACAAGCACTTTACATGGGTACATTGAAACACACACACACAAACATACATACAATATTTATTAGTTAGCTAGTTCGTACAGTAACAACACTTCCGCACACACACACACACACACACACAACAAGCAGAAATTCCATCATAGCTGTCATCATTTGTGCTGTGATTCATTTTATGCAAGGGGGACACACAGGGGGGCGGTGGGCAAGTAATATTCTCTACAAAATAACAAGTACGTGTAACAGGTGCAACAAACACTATGAATTTAAAAAAGAGAAAAGTATGCAGAATCCTTTTCCTCAGAACAACAACGGTAATTCATCGCATATTATGCAATCAAAGTGACATTTATGGTCAATTTGATCCATACCAGAAAAAAAAAAACAATTTATGTGCTAATGGCCATTATCAAACAATGAAAAACTAGACTTGAATCATCACACGTACACGCACACGCGCACACACATACACGGAGACAGACGAAAACCAAAGAAAATAAACAATTTGCACACACACTTAAAAAAATAATTTAAAAGAGGGTTGCAAAAAAAAAAATTTTGTAACAATAGGAATTTTACATTCATTGAACGATAAGATATAAATGATGTCTTTTTACTGGTTAAGAAAAAAAATCATTCAAAGTTGATTCAATCAGTTTTTAAAAGCGTTCTACTTTTATACAGGGCAGGATACATAAGTGAACAATTTAAAGGTGGTTTTTCATGATGAACTAACTGATGTATCCACACTGAAGATTCATGGAAAATCAGGGGTTTCAGATTAGGTGAGCACTCCTCATCGGTTTGTAATCTTAGACCTGGTACTTTTTGATATAAGTGTCGAACACAATTTTAGATTACGGGGACTGGACAGACAGATAGACAAATACAACGCAGAACTTCATAGATAAGTACATCAGTTCAGGTTGCCATACCACATCAGCACAGAGACGTAACTGTCAGTACAAATCCAACAGTGATCGCAATAGTATAAGTATTAGCAGTAATGGAGAAGATTGGGGAGCGAAGATATGATTCGAGAAGTATAATTCAGTAAGATAAATTTAGAAGGAGAAAGATAGAGAT